GCTGAAATCCCATGGACCCCAATTGGGGTCTGATACAAATACCCCCAAAGCCCAGGGCAGATTTTCCAAAAATTTTGAGAAGACTCATGGGATCTCACAGAACTTCAAGGAAGGCCTTTGAACAACTAGAGAAAAATGTAGCGGTTGATGGCAAGTTTCTGAACACATCCTGAGCATGCACGTTGTAGTGGGTGAGGACAGCCCAACCTTTGGATGTTTCTAACTTCTGGGACAATGCTGCAGGCTGGTCATGTAAGGGACATCATGGTGCTCATACACTCTGAGATGTATTTATGACTTTAAAAAAAATCAAAAGCTGGGATCTGGCCCTGTTAAAAGGGACAAGAAGTTTTCCCAGTTTCTTGCTCCTCTGAAAGCCTTACCCCAAGATGGAAAATTTCATTAAGCATGAAGAAAAGCTGGGTTAAAAGCACAAGCAGTAAATGAGTTAACGAAGGGCTGATGAAGGGGAACTAGCATATTTAGACAGCTAAATAAACTTTACTGCTGTAGTTTAACTTGAGTCCTACAAGGGAACACCTCTGCCCCTCTCCTGCCATACACAAAGGAGACGATTTATGACCCTGGGGTAAGAAAAGGCAGGTGATTTCCATGGTACCATCTTCCAATAGTGCTGCAAAGTGGCGTAAAGGGACTTGTAAGGAGCCAACACCCAATAAGGGCTTCTGTAGGGAGGTTCTGGTTTGACACCGGGTCACCATAGGTCAATTTTTCACTTCTGCTTCTATACTTAGAAATAGGGAATGAATGAAAGAAGTTGAAGAGCATGGAGGAGTGCAGTCTCCACCACCGCACAAGCTAGTTGTACCTCCTACACAGGCAGACCCCCAGAGTGGGTCTTGCCCCTTACCTGGAACAGCCTGGAGGAGGAAAAGGAGAAGAGCCATGAGGCAGGAGAAGAGCTGCATGGTGGAAGATCTCAGCCACAGCGTGGAGACGAGGCCACAACACCAGAACCTTTGAGCAGGGGAGGAGGGAGCACTCTTCCATTTATAGGGCTGTGGGAACAGACCTGGCTGTCCAAGGGACATTGGCAGTGGTGAGTGCAGAAGGCAATGAGTACAACGTGACCGCTGCACATGGCTAAACCTGAACAATGGCAAAAGGTCACAAAAGCAAGTGGAGAAGTGACTATACCTCCCTACCTGGGCACTGGGAAGGTTGCTTCTCAATATCCACCCACCTGGAGAGCATCGTTACTTGTTAACTTCAAAGAACAAGGTGGTTGGTAATGGGCCACCTGGAGGAAATGAGCCATCGTTTTGGTGGGAGAGAAGTCACCTAGCAATATCAGAAGACTGCTGATGATTTTGAGTATAGCAGAAGGTCCAAGGTGCTCCTGCAATGTTTGCAGTCTCCATTCATCGATGCAAAAAAAAATGATTTTTTGCATCATTTCCGTAACTGAAAAATAAAATTTGAACCAACTAAACAACCATTTTTCTTTCTGAAAAGATTAGTCAGTTGATATCATGGACTCAACTCGATTGCCCAAATATATAGGCCTAACTCCTGTGGGCTGCCCTAGGGTATCCAAAGGATCTCATGCTACTATCTGGTAAGACACAGGTGTTCTGAGACAATCTCTACACGAATGGAGGGACAAGTGGATGGCCATGCGTATGGTCTAACATTTAAAATGGCACTGGATACTCATGTGTGGTCAACTGATGGCAGTGGTCAGTGCTACACTCAGATACCAAGATGTAGGCATCTACAATGGATGTGTCTGCATGGGAATGAGATATTTAATTAGTGGTTCTAAGACTCAAATCACCTGTTGAGCTATAGTGGGATCTTATGAGCCAACACGCGTGCAGGAACCTGCACTGTGGATACTTGTACTTAGTTAAGTCCAGAGCTAAGGGCATCTGTTGTCATTAAAGATGCCTCCAGGATCCCATCTGGCCTCCAGCTGCTGCTCCATGAGGGTACAGCTCCCCCATAGCTCCTGCATGATATCTGCCAGGCCAGGCAGACATCGACATTTCTAATGTCACAGGGCCTCTCCGATGGCTCTAGTGTCTATGTGTCGGCAACTGGGTCAATTCCTAAATGTTCTTCTCAGTTGTGAACTTCTGGTTATGGCCATTTTGTAGAAAGAAAATGAAAAAAAAAAAAAAAGGATTATAGAATCATTTGTAAGGACCTGCTTTGTGATGCAGTGATCAAAAGGTTTCATACCAAATAAAGCACTTCCAACAGCAAGGAATCCTGCCTCAAAACACCACTGTGCCAGCTAGAGCACTCCCTGGGTAAGCCAGAAGGTCTGGGGTACTGTCCTTACTCCAGCAGATGTATGATTTTTTTATATAACATACAACAGGGTAAAGAAGGTGAAATGAACATTTTTTTCTTTAGTACTTGATAGTCTGAAAAGGAGCATTAATGGATTTATGTACCCCGGGGAAAAACAGAACTGGAGCTGGGTCTCACATATCATGGCTACAGAGGTGTCAGACAAAAAAAGTGGTCATGTCTTCTTATCCAGCAGTGTTGTATGAAACAGCCCTGAAAAGTCTTTCTTCCGTATGAGTTGTTGCAGTAAATGCAAGGTGCATCTACAACATGCCTTGGTGTGAAAAAATCCATTTTTGTTTGTAAAGAGCAAGCCTCCCACTAATTTTCATGCTTGGATATCTGGTTTCATGTATCTGACTACGCATGGATTTTGATTACTGGCTTTTAGGGTTTTTCCCTTTGGAGAGACTTAACTGAGAAACTCTATTGAAACTTTTGGTAAGGTTAACTGTAGAAGATTTCTTTTTCCAGGCTCTTCGTCTTATACATTAGTCAAAATTGTTAAATAGTCCAGATAATTGCTTTCAGACAAACTGGGAATATTTCATGAATGATATGGATGTGTTTTATTCACAGTTGTTACCACAAATACGATTTACATCTGAAACTTAATAAAATATTACTTAACAAAATAAAATATAATCTTAATAAAATATGAATCTTGCTCCTTTGTGTGTGGTACAGAAATCTGGTAAATTGTCAGAACTATGTCTTAATTTTTTGTATATGTAGTGGATGTGTATTTTTTCCTCTTCAAACAAGTTATTGCATCTAACAGTGTGAGAAGTTAACTACAGAGGCAAAAGAGTCCCAAGTCCTGCTGCCTGCATGCAAAAAAAGATTTTGTACTCTGATGAGAAAGGGTAGGCACAAGATGTTATCAGATCAATGGGTTTGTGGTTGGGTTGCCTGTGAGTACTCTACAGCCTGCGTTGCACGCACAGCTGAACTTCTGAGTGACGCATCGAGCAGGAAAACAGAAACGAGTTTGATTTGGACTGAAGTGAGCTAGGACTTCTGTAAGTTATTGCCATGAAATTGCCATTGGAAAAAAAAAAGTCATTTCACTTAATGTACTCAGGACATGGCAGATTTAGGTCCAAAACGCTCTCCTGCAGTTTTTGACGTTGCCTTAACCAACAGGCTCTTCTAGAGCGTGTCTCTCATGATGTCTCCTGCTGTTCGTTCTGCATTAAAGAAGTCAAGTGCAGGACATGGCTCAGAAAACAGGGGTGGGCTTCAGCCACATAGTCATAGGTGTCTCAATATAATCTAGGTGTCTGAACTTCTGTTTTCAGCAGTGGGTAGGGGATTTCTGTGGCCACTCGGTTGTAATCTCGTGATGTTTCAGGCACCCATGGGTATAAGGCTTGACCAACACCATACGTCAAATGTTTTGAGTACCTGTGCAAATGTCCTGAGTACCCTAGATAACCAAGAGTTCACTAAAAGCACCAAGTGCCTATATTTAGGTGGATGAAGTCTGCCCAGAAGAGCGAGGCAGGGCAGTCAGTAGAGCCAGCTCTGCT